TGACCGTATATGTCTACTTTCAAATGGAAATACCCTTTTCTTTGGAGAAACGTTAGCTTGTTTGCAGGTAACATCTATACGTTCACAAATCTTGCATGTGAAATATGACTAAGGACGAGTCAGTAACCTTTTGTGTTTACAAATTAAAAAAAAATCAAATCATTGGTTTTTAATTTTTTATGCTTTGTAGGGATACTATTTAATATTTATTAATGAAAATCAATTGAAGATGAGTTTTGCAAGATCGTCAAGAACTTCCTTTTTTCGCTAACCTTCGTTAGTACATGAAATACATATCTTATTGCTGACTTCTATAATTTATGTTGATGAAGCACTTCTCAAATGCTGGATTTCCTTGCCCAATCATGCAAAGTCCTTCTGATCACTTTCTCCGTGCAATTAATACAGATTTTGACAGGATAATTGCAATGTGTAAAAATTGGCAGGTAAATATTTCTAGTGAGTTGACGATTGATGTGCTCAATGCATTTTGGATGTCTCATATTAGACCTTTTATGATACTTTACTAACATTATCCCATCTAATAATAGGATGACAATGGAGATTTTTCTTCTGTAAACATGGACACTGCTGTTGCTATACGCACACTTGAAGCAACTTATAAATCATCAGCGGATGCAGCTGCTGTTGAAACTATGATTCTGAAACTCACTGAGAAGGTATATTATAACTGCTGGAATAGAAACATTGTACATGTTTAATCTTCTGTTAATGTGGACTGGGAGTTTCACCATAGGTCCTTTCCTTCCCAAATGTCATGTTAAATTGCTAATTTATATATTTTTATGGACTGTTTATACTTATCATTAATTGAGTTTAGTGGTAGATTGAAAGTTTTGGTTGCAATTAGTCATAGTAAGCCTAATAGAGTAAAAGATTTATAATTTAGCTGATCATTAAGGTTAGGCAAATATCATGGGTTTGGAACTACTGGGTAAGAAAACTGAGCTTCAATTGAGGGACATTGTAAACTTTAAGTTTTTGGAAGCCTGTAATCTGGGACATTCTGCATATGCTACTGGGTAATTGGAGGTAGTAGATGGTGTTTCATTGAAGACCATTTAGAAGGATTTGTACTGACAGATGATTTTGTTGAAGTAGATTTGCACTTATCATGATTTATTTGGGATTTATTTTGCTTTACTGCATTTAAAGGGCAGTTTGTGTTGGATTTTGAGTTTTGGAGTCTTTTTAAAGCATGCTTGATTTTTCAGGAAGGTCCAGCTCTCAAAAGCAAAGGTAAAGCTAGCAATGCTACTCGGATAGCAGTTTTGACATGGAGATCTTTATTAGTTGTGTCAAGGGAATGGAAATATTACTGGCTGCATCTTATTCTTTACATGCTTCTCACACTGTGTATTGGAACTGTATTTTCTGGTCTGGGGCATTCTCTGTCTTCTGTTGTGGTGAGTCTTGTCATGACAATTGGCTTTTATCTTTCATTGTGTATCTCTTAGGGTTTATATCTGCATTTACAAATGCCAGCAGTTCTAGATACGGCTGTGATACATAGGAACTAAATTTTAACATATCTCAAATTGCAGACAAGAGTTGCAGCAATTTTTGTATTTGTATCATTCTGTTCCCTTCTAAGCATTGCTAGGGTGCCTGCTCTTATGAAAGAAATCAAGGTAATTTTGTGCTTATTTCACTTCACCAGAATTTATTAGTTTGCCTTTATTTGCTTAATATGGATATAATAATAAATGTAATATATCCATTTGGCAAGTTTTTTTTTATTAAATTGTCTGCATTGTCGATTCTTTTGTTTTATGTGTTCGTCTAAACAGACCTCAACTACACAACATAATGTCTTAATTTATTTGATGATTCTTGCTAACTCGTGAGAATTTTATGCATAAACTTACAAGCTTTGAAATATGGGTCACACTTATTTTTAATAACAATGCACTAGCACTTGGAAAAGTTTTATAATTTCATGGTAGAAACTAGAAACAAATTATATTGTTTGCATTGTAGATCTACTAGATCGTAAACCATGTGGTAACTGTATTACTATGGAAATGTTGTACTGCCGGATTTTATCGTAGCAATTTAGTTGCATATTTTTTTCTTAGTACAGTTAATTGCTAATATTTGTTGTATATCTTTTGTGTTTAGTAAGTCTAGCACTTGGTACAATACAACTCAATCGAACCAAGTGAAATCAAGAAACATGTAGTAAGCAGCATGATGCTGGAGATTCTGTGTGTTGTCTCTTCATCATGTTTGGCAAAACTAGCACTTCATAGTTGATTCGAAGAGCAAAAATGAAAAACAAGATACAATTTACATGCTCAAGTATTGTGTTGGTAGACTTGACATATCTATAGTTTCACTCTGTATTCTTTGAAAGGTTGATGAAGTTAAATGATTTGCTCATTGCAGATATATGCTTGTGAAGAATCAAACCAGCACTCCAGTACATTAGTCTTCTTGCTTGCGCAGCTCTTGTCCAGCATCCCATTTCTTTTTCTCATCTCCATTTCATCAAGTCTAGTCTTCTACTTCCTCGTTGGGCTGGAAGATCAATTCAGCTTGTTAATGTACTTTGTGCTGAATTTTTTCATGACTTTGTTAGTGAATGAAGGACTTATGCTAGTTGTGGCTACTTTGTGGCAAGATGTATTTTGGAGTGTCTTGACACTGTTGTGCATACATGTGAGTTCCATTGTCCTTTTATTAGAGTTTAAACAAAAATTACATGCTGTTCAACTACTATTCTGCCGGTCTATATTTTCACTCAAAGCCATGATTACATAAGAGCGTAGCTGTTTCCTGAACTAGCATGTGAATATGTATTCCATTTCAGGTGGTCATGATGCTTTCGGCAGGCTATTTTAGAATTCGAAATGCTTTGCCTGGACCCGTGTGGATGTATCCAATGTCGTATATAGCCTTTCATACATACTCTATTCAGGTAAATTGATGTGTTAGTAACTTCTGTTCTCAGCTATTTAAGAGAAAGTAATACTTGACAGACTAGTCTTTTATGCTCGTTTGTGATTTTTTTTGGGATTCAACTTCCAAAGCTAGGAGAATCTAATGATCCAAACTTTTTTCCTAGAAGGGTATTTGTTGAAGCATTTGCTTGCTTGTTATTATTTTTTTTTGGTAGGGGCTTCTGGAGAATGAGTACCTAGGCACCTCCTTTGCAGTGGGGCAGGTAAGGACCATATCTGGGATTCAAGCTCTCCAAAGTGTGTACAATATCTCCCCCGACAGTAATTCGAAGTGGAAAAATTTGTTGGTTTTGTTTCTTATGGCAATTGGTTACCGTATTTTTGTGTTCATTTTATTATGTTTCTTCATGGGGAGAAAAATATCCCTGCGCAAATGTTTCAAGTGTAATAGGGATACAACAGATTCAAGTTGACGGGAACGTTGTTCAGCCATTTACATTGTATAATTCCTTTTGATCGAGTTTTGCTTTCAACTTTTGTTATGTGAATTTATCTTTGACTAATGAAAGAGCAAATGTGATACATATATATATATATATATATATATATCAGGTTTAAGAGTTATATTATTCAATATTTTACAATTTTCTTTTTCTCTTCCATGTGTTGGTACCAAGTACTTGCTGTAGAATGTACCAACCATGAGAGCTCATGATGTTGGGGATATTATTGATTTCAGTCATGCTGACAGATGAGGCCACTAGTTCTAAAAGCTACTTGTGATAAATAATTGATTTTTGACGTAGCCAATTCCTCATGCATTGAAGTTTGGGTTGCTGGTGGATGTGGCACGCTCCTATCTAATTTGTCCACGTGTTTCGTTGACGTGGCTGTTTCTTTCATCCATGTTTGGTAATGTTTGCATAACGCGTTACATAAGCGTGGTTTTGTTTCTTTGGTGTTGTGGTTCGTTGGTCACGTGAAAATTTGAAGGGTGGAAGGTGAGCGGTGAGGGAGGAAAAAAAATATTGTTCTTGACTTCTTAATTATTCAGGAAGATTAATTTCCCACTTCCACACCAAAGATAAATCTGAGTTAATCTCGTGCGCCCAAGAGCAATCATTTGGGTTTGGGTCACAATTTGTAACTAATAAGGAGAAGATAAATATTTTGTTTTTGTTTTGATAAGTGGGATTGTCATCAGAGAATTCTCAGAGAGATGGTTATTAAGAAAATCTAGTTACTATTTTAGTTTAAAATATTTTGAGTGTAATTTGTCTTCTTGAAACCTTTTGAGTTTATATAAATTAGTTTCATCTAGATAAAGATCTCTTACTTGTCTCAATTTCATAAATCGTGTCATATCTTTAATCGTATTAATAATCTATGAATCTTAGTTATTGTGAACGTTATCGTAATCATTATGTAAATCATGAAGTCCAGTTAGATCTCAGCTATCATCTGAGGTCTCGTGATCAAGACAAATAACTCAAAAATAATTTGAGTTTGGTGTAATATATAGGAGATGAGGACTACACGAGTTAGGTCCAAGAGGTCGTCTTTATTCTAAAACATCATAGATATTGAGTCCCTAACTTGAGCATAAAGGTGCAAAAATTTTAAGTGTTGTACTGGTGTGAATAGTCTGTCAAAAGGAAACTAGTACAGTACATAACCCCAAGCTTGAGTATGATGGTGTGAAAAGTGTAGGTGATGGTGGATTTTCTATTGGTGTGGATAACTGGTCAAAGGGAGACTAGTAGGATGCAGTTCCAAACATGTATTTTCCATTAAAATTGTGACAATGTTTTTTTTTTTCTTTTCATTTTTTGTTTTTAAGAAAAAATGAAGTACTTTCAGGTATGCTTCACATTTACGAAGAAAAAATGGTTTCAGAACTTCATGATAGCGGACTAGGCTATTTAAGGCCTCGAAAAGCCCACGGAGCCCACTACGACTCATCAGCCCAATCCCAAAGCAGAATAGTCACGATTCGCAGCATATCCTTGGTTGAATGGAGAGGATATTTTCCCTAAATTGTAATCTATTGGATTGCAACCGAACCCAACATTTGAAACTTGGTTTGATCTTAAGTCTTAACTCTTCTTAACTGACGATTAAGGAATTATTAATAAATATTTTGATAAATGTTTGAAAGACGCGTAAAATGACCGTGAAGAATGTACCAAAAAAAAAAAAAAAACTGATACGTAGCAAACAGAATTGACCGGGACGAATGCGTTTGGAGAGAAGAGGAAGGAATAGGAATGTTTGTGTGTTGTGGTGTATGCGTGATCTCGTCCTCTCCCTCTTCCCGCGTAAAAGCATGACGACGTCGTTGTTGAACGGCGAGAGAGCGGTGGTGGTGTTCTTCATCTGTAGAATCCTCTACTCCCTCCCTCTCTCTCTCCTCCTCCATGGCGTTGCTCTCTCTCTCCTCGCCCTCGCCTCCTTCTTCCTTGAGATCTCCTTCGACTCTTCCAATTCCCCTCCTCTTTTCCGCACCAGGTACCTCTCTCTCTCTCTCGCTCGCTCGCTCCATTAATTAATTAATTAATTAATTAATTCTCCTTTCAGGCCGGGTGCTTCTTCGGGGATTCTTCTCGGCGCCGTCACTCTCCCTTCCCTTCTTCTCTCCAAATTGGTGCAATTGTCGCGGGGATTCTCACTCGCTCAGCTTCAGCTTCAAGGTTTTCATTCCAATTCATTTATCGTTTCTCGCTATGTCACGATCGATTTTGTTTTCCCTGTGTTCTTTATTTTTATTATTAGGAGTTGCAATTTGCAATTTCCTGATGTGTAAAATTTGAATTTATAGAGATTCAATATCTGACATTGCAATACTGGGCCACATCTGCCAGCGCCTGCAGCGTCATTTTGTTCCTCGCCTTGGCTCGACGCCGTGCTCCTTCATCCCCTTCTCATTGGGGTGTAGTGTTTAGCTTATGCTCCGTTTTCTTTCAAGCTCTCGTTTGTGTTGCTGCCCTTGCTACCACTTCTCAAATTGGTATGTGCTTGTTGGGAGCTTTCGTTGACTGTGAAATCAGATATTCCTGTTGTATTGTGTAGGTTGGAATTGGATTGTACTCCTCCAAAGTGAGCAACTCACTTTAGAGAGTAAATTAATCTTAGTTGTTTATGGGAAAATAAGCAATTAACCGATAATTTTCTAATTTCTATTAACATGCATATGGATAACAATTTATGAATGTGTTATGCATATGTACCTTCTGCTTAAACTTTCATTGCCTATGTTTTTTCAGGGCTGCACCCAGCACTGAAGCTGACTTGGGTCTTTTGTCATGGATTGGTGTCTGTGATGCTAATTCAGCATTTTCTCAGAACTTTTCCCTCTTGTGCTTCTATAGGTATTTCTATTTTACACTGGTTATTATTCTTCTGTGTTTGGGATTTTACTTTTGTCAAAATTGATGGGGTTAAAAGTTCCATAAAAAGGGAAAAAATGCTTGCAATTGATCTCCTTTTATAGTTCATGGATTCTTTCACTTAACTATGGAAGATGAGTTCACATTATATTTTGCCAAATCTGATTTGAGTAGACCTGTCATATCAACTGAAATTGGCAAATCGTCATTACACATAAACATGGTTCTTGCAAATTTAGTTTTATCTTTGTTTTGTTTGTCCTTTGTTTAATAGCTGGGTTCATTTTTCACCCTTATCAGAGATATGTATAAAGCCTGCCACTAAGTGATCATATCTCAACAAACTTGCATGATTTATTTGAGAACAGGGTGGGGGGATGGGGTAATTTGTCTGCTCTTATAATAATCGTATTTTCCCCTCTGATACCAGGGGAAGCATTTTTGGTGACTTCCGGCATTGTTCTCTATTTTGGCGACATGTTGTTGCTTACTATTAAAAAGGTTGGTGCTTCTTAACATGATACTGTTCCTAGCTGACCTACAAACACACATATGTCTGTATGTACATAATCGGTGATTACATTGTTTGAACAGCTACATGGACTATTGGTCTCATCAGATTTAGTTACTGCAGAACATGAAATAAGTAGAAGTGAGATAAGCATCATAATTCAGGTATTAATCCGTAACTTATGAATTTGTTATTAATGGTATAGCTAGACCAGTTAAAGTTGTCTACTTTTCTTGTAGGGGCTTGTGCTTGGTCTTCTGCTATATCCAATAGCTTTGAAATACATTCTCCAAATATGGGAGTGGTCTATAAATACAGCTTCCACTGAAGCAAGAAGATACTGTGAGATTGGGAGAACTCTAATGTTTATTGCTTCCCTTGGATTTGTCCTGATTGTGATTGTACCATCTTGGATGCAGTTCGTGCAGGAGTTTCACATGCATCCTTTTCTCTGGTATCACATCAATATCTGATATAGGTGGACTATTTTGTTAGCTTCTTGTTACTGAGGTTTTTGGATCTCATCTGGTATAATATAGAAGTAATAATAATAGGACACTTGGAAAGTAGCTTTATTATTGCTATAAATTGACCAGGATATAGTATATGTCATGCTGGCAGCTCTCATTCATGCATACATGTTAGCTGATAAGGCAATGCAAGCTGATAATTCTATCAGAAAATGTGAATCAAAGAGTTAAGCACATACATTTCCACTTTATATTGACTGGTTTTTATATGAATGTGGTTATCTTAAAAAATATGAACCCAATTTTCCAAAAAAACGTGGTTTGCTATAAGAGCCAGCTAAATTTTATGCCTTCCTATGTCATGAATCTACATCAGATTGTAAGGAGAAAATTAGTGATAGCAGAAACTGAATCTAATTCAACTGTTCTTGAAGTTGTTCACTTTATTATGATACCAGCTATTTTGTTAGATTAATATATTTTTTACTTTTGAAACATTTCATTGCAGGGTGCTCTCTTTTGTTTTCTCAGAGCCATCCAAAAGGCTGACTTTATGTATCTACTGGGTGTCTATAATTTGTGTTTCGGTTTTTCGATTCTATAACATCTCCAAGAACAGTAAGATGGAGAGAATTCTTTTGCGGAAGTACTACCATCTGATGGCTGTCTCGATGTTTTTGCCTGCCCTTATCTTCCAGGTGATTTGGGACTAAATGGCTGTATGCTATGTATTCTACTATAGCAAAGGGATTTTGCCACTTGGTATCATTTTCTTTCCACTACACTTGAAACTGCAGGGAAGATGTACAAACACTTCCAAGACTTTTACCTCATTTAGAAATAGCCACCCTTAAGCTTCAAATCTGGATGAAAGGCCTTTAAAAGATTGTAATAGAACCTTCCATAGCTGTTCATTATACGACTTCTACTATATTGATTAATACATATTATGTTTTCCCATGTTTTTTGAAGAAAAAAAAATCCTCATTTTAATTTAAAGAATCATTCAATAGTTTCTATTTTTTGCAATTAAAAAATAAATAAAAAAGGAGTCAATTTTCTACCATTTTCATTAAATAACATTGAGGAATTAGAGATTAGTCAATACATGCAAGTCATGTGATAACTGATTTTAGCTTATTTAGTAGACAAAAGGATCTATTAGAAAGCTTGAGAGGCCTCTCACCTGGATCCAAAGTTTAAGGTGACTCCTTCAAAATGAGGTAAAGTTCAGGCAGTGTCTATGTATTTTCCCCATTGAAATTATACCCACAAAAATATATATTATTATCATATCATATAGGTCTCCTCTTAAAGTTTCTTCTTCCAAGGGCTTTGTTTTTTTTTTTAAATAATTCTTTTATATATAATATTTTAGTGCTAGTTACCATTTTAAGGTTAAGAATATGAAAGGAAAAAGAATGATCATTCCATAATGTAGTTAAAAACATTTATACTTTTTTCTTTACACCTGCATTGTTGTGGCAACCACTAGTGTGTATATAAATTTTATGTTGGTCATAGATACTACTTTCTGTCTGCTATAATACTGACTGTCTTATTTCTTTCAGCCAAAATTTCTTGATCTAGCTTTTGGTGCGGCTATGGCAATTTTCCTGACATTAGAAATTATTCGAGTAAGTATCTTTAATCTTTATATGCATTCAACTTGGCACTAGGAGTGATGTCATTTTGAAAAGGATGCTGTGTGTTTAATGTTATTGTTGATTAAGTAAATAGTACAGAAGGAATCAAAATTTAAATTCAGATACTTAAAATTTGAACTGTTATGAAATAACATTCCACCGTTTAAGGAGTATCTTTATGTGGCAAGAAGGTTTTATTTGGGTGGGTCCTGTGAGATGTATGTGCACAGTCCTTGTTTAGATAACAGAAAAGGAGTAATGAATAAGAATATGTAATTAGGAGACATTCTGCTAGAACAATTTTCCTAAAAATGTCATGGACATCAGAGTTTTGGATTTCATGAAAATTTGCTGCATCATATATAAATTATGACTTTATTAATGAGATTATTTAAACTAAAGAATAAGATTGTGTCATGTTGCCAAAAGAATCGGAAATTTCAGTTATTGTGGTCTTTACATGCCTACATGTGCTGTTTGTCTGTCATACTATTTGTTAATGTTCATGCTTCTGTTTCCAGCCCTTTAGCCACTGGGGTTAAGCCCATCATCCTAGCCTCTTTTGGTTGTTTTATCTTGCCCTAGTTTTTCTGTGCTTGTGCCTCCCTATTGAGATTTACCCTCTCCAGTTTGAATTGTGCACTGTGATATTAGAGACATCTGCCTAGCACCATGACTTTCCCAGAGATTTACAAAGAAATCATCCGAGCCTTGCAACTTTACCAGAAGCATCAAATGTTCTATGGCTTTCCCTGCAAGAACTTGGCCTCATGGCTTTCCTAGTGATATTAGCCTGGCCTTGCGACTTTCCTGTAGATATCAACCTGGCCCCAAAACTTTCTCAGAATTCAGCCTAGTCTTGCAGCTTTACCATAAATATCAGTTGGCCCAGTGTCAGTCCTAGAGAATCATCCTAGTCCCTCCATTCCTAAGTCTCAAATTATAATGTTTAATTTCTTTATTATAAAGGGCTTATCTGTAATATTCTTTAGTAAGCTTTATCTCAAGGGAGTGTTAGAATATAGAAAATGTCTTATCGTATCTTAGATTATCCTCTAAGGTCAGTTTTCATATTTCCTCATTATCTTTTAAGAATAATTACTTATTTCCTTATCTTAACATGATTCGTTTTCCTAATTAGTGAAGATTATGATTAGTATGAACAAAAGTTAGGGCTCTAGGTTTTATGAATATATCAATGAATTGTAATACATCACAGCTAATATCAATTTAGTATTGCATATACCTAAAACCCCATAATTTCAACAATGGTGGATTGATAATTTGAAATGTCTGCACTTTGAAAGCTGTTCCCTTTTCTTCTTTGCATTATTCTAATGCTAAATTCTGATAGTATTATTGCCCATAAATTGTGTCTTGGTTTTCTGAAGTGTTTCAAAGCAGGCTGATTGGTATACAAGTTTTATTTATATAGATAGATAGAAATTTCTTGGTCGCTTTTATATTAACATTGATTGACCTAGATATGGAGAATCTGGCCTTTGGGGCAACCAGTAAATCAATTTATGAATGCATTCACTGATCACCGTGATTCCGATCTTCTAATTGTCAGGTATTATTCCCTTTTCCGTTATAGCTCAAATTGTAGTTCTGTTTATGATGCATAAGAGCTCATTTAGTCCCCTTTCATGATTATTTCTTCTTTATGCAGCCATTTCTCACTCTTACTGGGATGTGCACTTCCTATTTGGATGTCTACTGGGTACAATGATCGACCTCTTGCTCCTTTTGCGGGAATATTGAGTCTAGGAATTGGTGATACAATGGTAAGTTTGTTTTTTAAATTTTTGGTGTGCGTGCACACCCCCTTGCCATTGCAAGTAACCAGCACGAACTTCTAAGTTAAAACATTACCAAAAGGTGAATTGTATCTTCTATTAAAAATGAAAAAAAAAAAAATGAATGTGTCACGGTGCTTAAGGTCGAATGTGACTGTTTTGGGCCAGTCAACGATGTTTGAAGTAACCATAAGTGCAAAAACTTTTATAATAAATAAGTAAAAATTCATATCAGTAATAGTATCTGATTGCTTGATAGTATAAAATTATTTTACACTATCTGTATATGACCATTAAACTCTTCAATGGGAAATTTGAATACTTGAGATAATTCTATAAACAGTTTTTCATGTATATGTTGACTGATTTATTTCTAGCAGGGCTGTCTGAAGGATGATGATTGTGTTGATACCATTTTATGTGGTGAACAAGTCAGACTGAAGAAAAGCATTAAAAAATTTGTTTTTCTTTCTATACATTTAGTTTTACAGAAATACAAAAGGGAGTTGTTCTGTTAATGGTTGATTTTCACCGTCGTTAGCAGCTTTTTTTAATCTATTTCTATTTATTAAATTTCAATTTTCATTATTGAGTCTCACAGTTAAATTATATATTCTTTCTGACAATGCCAAATGTCTTTCTTATATCATGACACATTTTCTTAGCTTTCATATATCAAAATCAAATCAACATTAATTACCAGTTATAATAATTATTCAATAAAATAATATTATTTTCTTTCATCAATACTTAAATTTCTTCAATCAATCAATAATTAAATAAAATGGAATATTTGTAATCATGATTAAATTATTTTTCTACCAATTAGTTCAATTTTTGAAAATTTTCAAAATTAAAAAGCTTCAAATGGTTTTTGGATTTTAATATATATATATATTTGACAAAGGTACCCATGGAATGCACGGAATACTTACTAATTTATAGTAATGTTTTTCTTGTTTGTTTAGGCATCAATGGTTGGGCACAAGTATGGCGTTTTGAGGTGGAGTAAAACTGGCAGTAAGTATTTTCATTGTTGATGATTTTTATCGGAGTCTTCTATTGCGGGATGTGAATGTGTGGTTTTCTTACTTGCCAGAGAAAACGGTTGAAGGTACTGCAGCTGGTATAACTTCTGTACTAGCTGCTTGCTCTTTACTCCTTCCACTCTTAGCATCGACCGGATACATTCTCACTCAGGTGATTATCTCTATCTCTCTCTTTCTGTGACATTAAGGGGGCAGGGTGGGTTTGTTTTAGTGTGGATGCAATTAAACTCGTTAGTAATAAAGTTGATGACCTTTAAACGCTGGTTTGGACTTTGGAACCCGTTAAAAAGTTGGAAATCACATCAATAGCGCTGCATTGACATGATCTCTCTCTAGAATGCTTCTTCCTCACGTGTGGTTTTTCCTTGATAACATATACGGTATCTCATTTTGGTGCTTCCGGTCTTGTCATTCTTTGCATAGACGAGGTGTCCCGCGTCATTCTTGTTTCATATGACCGTGGTTCGTATAAACACCAAAGCTTTACGTAAGCACGTTTTGTTACCGCTGGCCTCTGACAATTTCTTGCATCAATGAGTTAGGAACGTTTTATCATGCATATAATCCAACTTGTGCATGTGGAGTTAGGTCAGAATTCAGATACCACGTTTAGTATGCCTTAAGGGAGTACTTGCTCTCCTTTTCCCCAACTCTTCTTTTCTCACCCACGCGCAAACCCAGCCCCACTTAAACGACGGCTATCCTTTTCATTCTAATTTCTCCTACATCCCCCCTCAAAAGGGAGGAAAAGGAAAGCTACGCCTATGCTAGTAGGTGGTAGTTTCATCTTTCAACAGGAAAAAGTAGCCGAAATAGTCGTTTATCGTTCAGACAATGAAATGAATAAAGCTAAGTGAGGGAAGCCCGCAATTCTAGAATATTAGTTCTTTTGAATTATTGAGTTTTTCATTGATGTATTTATTTGTTACCAACTTTTTGCAGCATTGGTTCTCTCTTCTTCTAGCTGTGACTGTAAGTGGTTTGTTGGAGGCCTACACAGCACAACTCGACAATGCATTTATACCACTTTTTTTCTATAGTCTTCTCTGTTTGTAGGCACAGCTTAGTTACCTTGGATGAGTAACGACGGGGTTCTGCAAATATATGTCGTGTCTGAGCACATTGCTTTTTCAGAGGTCGGATAACTATTAACCAATGCAATTGTACTTGACAGTTTAGGGTTGTGGACTTGTGGTATACATAGTTAGGATTGTATCTCTCTACAGATATGATAGGTATACGAATGTTCATATTAAAGGGGGTTGTACCCAACACACAACATAATGTATGCAGTAGTGACAGTTTCCCATTTTTGATGAAAGCCATTTGTGAGGCCATGACGAGAGGAGAGTTATTGGAGATCTAGTGGAAAATGGTCAGAAAAATTGTTAATATCTCTGATTTTCATACGTATATACTGTTTTGTTTGTTTCTCATAAAGAGTCGATTCCTTGTATAACAGAACACCTGTTCTAGTTTAAAATTTAATTGAGATTAATCTAGACATATATGAATTATATTTAACGCTTCAAAATTATTATTTTTTACTTATTTTAAAAACACGGTCCTTACTTTTTACTGTCATGTACTCGTTTGGGTGGAGCCATAATTTAGTTCAATTCATATTCAAGGACTCTCAATTTAGTGCGATTTGTTATTCAGTTAGCAAGCATATTTCTATGAAGGTTAAAGCTGATCTATTTACCTAATTTCATACTGTCATTGCCTGGGAACGTTAAAACCTAGTCTTAATCTTTATATGTAAAAACTTCTTAAATCAGTTTTAATGTGCGAATATTACTAGTTTAGATCATGTCACCATGACGTAACAATTTACATTCATTGTTGGCCCCTTATGTATAATGACGTTTTCTTTTAATTTGGTTTCTCTGTACGTAGTATATTCTTAATTTAGTTTCTATACATTCTTAATTTCATAATTTGGTTCTCGTACTTAAAAACATTTTTAAGAATAATATTAAGAATATCATATATTATAACGATTAAACTGAGAAAACTGTACAAGTCAAGAACTAAATAAGAATGTGGTAGAGGGTTATCTATTTATAATTCTGGTGTACGGATTATTTTGTCAATTTTAAATTTCTAGAGATTTCTGTTATCTGAAAATCTTCCAAATATGTCAAAGAAATATTAAATTTAAATTACTGTAAATATAATTTTCAATATAGCTCGAATAGTCGATTACATAGGTATGTCATGTCGTCATCGTTACCTGTTCCCTTGCCTTCTTGTCTGCTGTCGAATACGAATGAAACGTAACTGCCCAAAGGACTGCTTTTCTTCTGTTCAAATACGCACCGAGAGTTTATGTCCCTTGTTTTTTATATTCCAAATTAATTCTTCGTAGTTCATATCTGCTACGTGTTGAAATATAATTTGGTTAATTTAAATACACATTCACTACGTATAACAGTCTAAAATTATTTTTATCTGAATTTATTTTGTTTAACTTTCAATAAAACAGGCGCTGTGTTATTGAAGTTAAAAAATAACCCATGTTAAAAGAATTTATTCTCACTAGTTTCTTCATGCTAACCTTCCTGAATATGCTGTTTTTTTTCCTTTTGATTAATAATATTCAATTATGATCAACATTACACATAAATGTTCTAATACAAACATTTGCAAGTGTAGCAATGATTCATTTGGTCTAGGTGACGATGGTGTGAAATTCATATGTAACTGCTGCAAAATTATAAAATTCAAATATTGCAATTAATATAAGTTTTCTATGACATTGTTGTCTTGTAGTTCGTGGTTTAGGTGCTTTTCATCAGGGGCTTCGTGCGTGTCATGCTTTCCATGGCTTATTTTCCGCGTTGCTGCAGATCATTGTTTTTTGTACTTTTCTGCTTTTGGCTTTTTCTTTCTTGTTTTCTAACCCCCACTGCTCCCACTTGTTTCTGTTCATTAACCTTTTTTTTTTTTTTTAATTTTACTTCACTGGTGATTTCTAGTTCAAACCCAACCAATAAAAAAGTAAAACACTCTTGAAGAAGAACTGATTATTGAATAGAAAGTAACAATCATTAAAATTATTTTTATAATATCCAAACATATTTGACAAAAATTCCTAGCAACCCCTATTCTTAGGTACAAAGCTTTTTAATACTAAACAACATCTTAGTTTACTTTTTAATAATATTATTTTTAATTAATATATATATATATATATATTTTTTTTTTCTTTCTTTCCATTACTAAATATTTCAAATGATATGACAAGTCATTGACATGGCATTTTAAACGTTTTCAAATTTAATTTTGGGTAATAGTGAAGTCGCTTTCTCCTAATAAATAAATAAAAATTATTTTATTTTTTTTGAAAAATATAAGATGAATTTGAAAGTGATATGACTTCTTCCAAATAAACTACTGTTGAAATGGTTATATAATATAATTTTTGCGAAAAATATATTGTTCATAGAAAGAAATAAATTGATAAAATTAATGGAGTTGTACATAATTTCTTAAGTATTATTTAGAATTATTTCTTGTACATACATAATAACATAGTAGATCATGTGATTAATACACTTCAAAGTAAATTTTAAAAATTTAAAAATGTGTGTGGATATTTCTATTTTTTTTAAACAAAATTATTTCAACCTTTAAAATTCTTTATAACATAATAACTGCTTAGACATTGATAAATCATATTTATCTTTAAAACTCAAAGCTTTGGAATAAATTAAATAAATAAAAAATATTTAACATACTCATTTATATAAGAAGATTTGATTATTTCTAAATACATATATTATTCATAAAATAATATCAACAGTTGCATAATGATTATCAATTTAATTAAAATAATCAACACCTATATATTAAATAGGAACTTCTATTATCCATTAATAAAAATATTATCCTTTTCAAAATGTTTAAAAACAGGATAGTTTTATTAAGAATTAATCATCTATATATTGTTAGTGTAAAGTTTTTTACACTAACGACCAATCAAATTTTTTAAATTATTTTATTTTATTTTTATTTTATTAAATAAGTAACTGACATAACACTATTAAAAGATATAATTGGTTATCAATATAAAATTTTTTTATATTGGTAATGTATAATAATTAACTCTTTTATTAAAGCTTAATGTTTATGTATTAATAATATAAAACATTTAATACCGTCAAGTAGCAAGAGATCAAAATAATTACTGTAAAAATCAATAAATATAACTATTTATAATTAAATAACAATAGAGAACTCCTTTCCACTGTCCTTTTGGATAGACGAATGACTCATTTTTTTAGAAATGATAAACGTTACCGAAGAAATGATAGTGATGTAGTTATTTTCATGGAGCAGTTAAGAAGGTGAATAAAAGCAAGCCAGCTAGATTGAGTGTATAATTATTGACAGGTGTAGCAAAGCAAAATATCTGTCAGACAGCTTAATTAGCATCATTCACTTGAAAAAACAAAAACTTATTTCTTCACATTCAGTGAGTGACTGTGACTAATTAGGTCTCAATTGCCCAACCTGGGGTACATGTACGCCACTCTGCCCATCAAACGTCTTAAAGATACCAAAAATATATAACTTTCTGGGGCCATGCATTACAATATACCATCAATTCCCTAACTCTAATCAGGGATGGCATAATGCCAACTATTTCATGATATTCCTCTTCGTTTTCTTATTTATGAAAATAAACATTACATCTTTTGCGAAACATGTCAACTCAATTAACATTATTAATACATAAACATTACATAAATTACCCGTGTATAGCCAATATTGATCGAACATTGGTACGTAATGGATAGAGTAAATGAGATAGTAATACAGTATTATTTTCTGGGTCCAAATCTTGTACAGTTTTGATGAGAATCTATAAACGGTCCTAGCCTTATTTTTCTTTTCTTTTCACTTTCTAGTTCTAGCCATAACATTCAAAATTGTACCTTCAGCCATGACATTCAAAATTGTACCGCGTCAACTTCTTTATTATTGGTCCGCGTATAATCGGTACCAAAATTTTGCCCTTTGCTATATTTTCATGTACCACCAATATTAAGACCAAAAACTCATATATATATATATGATTTCATTTTTAATGTAAATGAGCTTTTTAGAGATTTTTCTCTCAAATTAGTGGTTAGTTTTCAATATTTACTACCAATTTCATAAACTAATTAAGAATATAAAGATTTAGATGAATTTTTAAAAATAATATTGGAGATATTTTAAAAAAAACATTTTACCTTATAGAATAATAAAATCAATATGATATATAAAATTGGTTTTGCATATGTAGTTAAAAAAAATTGTAGCCATAGGATTGAAAAGTGTACCTTGTAGCCATTCAAAACGGTAGCGCGTGCAGTTCTTTTCGGTCCGCATACAATCGCCGTACGAAAATTTGGCATCTCTACTGTATCTTACTGTACGACCAATAAGACAAAAGTTGAACAACTTATTAAGGTCATTCTATAGCAGTTAAAATTTTGAAGTAAAATTTTATGATTATAATACACTAATTAAGAACACAAATAAGTCATATGAATATTCCTCACTTGATACAAGTTAAAGCTATGATATAGTAAAGAAGTGGAACTTACTAAAAAATAATCGATTAGGTTTCTCAATCAAGATTAAAAGTATGGTTAAAAGAAACAGTTCTAGGAACAAAATAAATAAGAATTTTTTTTTCATAAGTTAAAACTAACTTATGTATAATAATTTATTTAAATATAAGTTAGACATATTTTTTAAAAATTTCTCTATTGAAAATAAAGAACTTTTTTAAATAGAAAAAAAATAAAAAAAAATACTTATAAACTTATATTCAAATAAACTTAAGATTAAAAATAATATTTTAGAGAAAATAAAGAGAGAATTTTAACAAATTAACTTATGCATAAATTAATTTTAATTAGCTAGGGAAACATATTTTATTGCTTTTCTTCCTATTTTCTTAAAAGTGTTTTTTTAATTTAGAGGATTTTGTCCAAATATATCCTAATTATCAACAAAATTAATTGGTACTCTGCAACACTTACTGGAAAAAAAAAGTAAAAAAAAAAAGTGTTTAATTTGTACTTATAAATAAAGAAGATACTAAATCCTGCCATTTTATCTTTTTTTATGATTATTTTATCCTCAAATATATATAAATATTTATTTTAATTTCTCCACTACTGATTTTTTACACTTTTCTCTCTCACTTGTACCACTTTCGCAATTATATCTTCTTTCACTAACTATTTATACATCACCCACTTTATTATTATTTTTTAAAAATTGAAGAAAATTAGATAAACATGGGTGAATGAAGAGCGTGGATTCTGAGAAACAAGGTTGGTGTTGGATGATGACTCACGTATCACAGCTGTAAGCAATTCCTGTGATTTGGCGAAACACTTATAATTAGAATCAATGATTTCTGCCATTTCTCTGGAAACTTCCCATATATTGCCTCAGCATGCTATGCATATATATATGCCCTAAAGAATTATATATCCATGAAACCCACAGTACAAAACTACAGATAACACTAGCACATGGATTTCGTACGTCCAAATATGAACATAACCATCTTAGGAACAAGCTGAGTCAAAATTGGCTAGATGAAGAGAATCAACCTACTAAGCACAATGATACACGTGCCAACATTAACAGATACATATATAACAGCCTTATTAAAAGACAAATATTATAGCAACTGTCCTTTCCACAATTGCCAAGGTAATGGAGATAAAAAGAAAATAGCAGTAGTAAACGATAAAAATTTATTATGTTATAAAAAATTCTTTGTAATATTTATTTTTTTGTAATTAAATAAGGAAAATAATTACTATTGTTCTAGGTTTTTGCATGAAAATTAAGAGAAGATAAAGTGATATTGTTTAAAAAGTATAGTTCCATTTTTTCAGTTTTATCACATGATAAATAATTTGAAATAAAAAAATTAAGCAACAATAGTTTTGAAAGGAGAGAATACTAAAGAAAAAGAAGTGACTTTCCAAATTTCAAATTTTATAAAATGTTTACATTTTTTCATTTATAAAATGACAGTAAAAGAGATTAAAATGAGTAATATTTTATAAAATCAGTAATTCATATAAATAATTTAATAGAATTTAAAAGACTAATTTAAGAATTTATTCTGAGAAATGATTTCATGAGTAAAGGATATTAGTCAGTGATAGCGTATAAAAAAAGTCTCACAACTAGTCACAATTCACCTACACGTAAAGGAGGTTGCTCATTACTCATGAGTTAAGATAACAAATTAACAGTTAAGAAATTTTGACTATTTTTTAAAGGAACACTACTAGAAAAGTGTCATTTTCTTGCGAATTTTCGTGCAAAAAAATATTCGCAGAAATTTTTTTACGAATTTTCCTGCAAAAAGATATTTGCAGAATTTTTTTACGAATTTATTTGCAAAAAATAGTTTAAAGATATTTCTTACAAATTTTGCTACAATTTTAATAATCATAGAAATTTTTTTCCATTGTAAAAATTTGCAGAAAATATTGTAAAAATTTTATTTTGTTTCTTGCAGATTTTCTTTGCAAAAATAAATTCTCAAGTAATGTTTACTAAATTGGTAGAAAAATTTTGCAGGTAACTTTTCTTGCAGATTTTCCTACAAATTTTAATCCGTAAGAAAAATAAAAAAAATATTTAAATTTATAAGTTTAATATTTTTAAAAAACTTCAAGTCCCATATCGCTTGAAAATAAAGCAATTAAAGAGTATATACGTTAGGGCAACACTTACCTTACAAGTTGATTTGTATAGTTGAGTATTAAGCTTATAATCTACAATCTTAAAATTTAAAGGATTATGTATCACATGTTGGAGTAATTTCTTTAATTTTTTTTTCGTAAAAATATTCCTGCAAAATTTCTTATGAAAAAGTTTGCAGGAAACTTTCCTGCAAATTTTTTTTGGTAGGAAACTTTCCTGAAATTTTTCCTGCGAAATTTTTTTTTGCAGGAAACTTTCTTGCAAATTTTTTTCGCAAGAAATTCTGCAAGAAAATTTCCTGCGAATTTTAAAATTCGCAAAAATATATTATTCACGAAGGTATTACCTGCAGATAAAATTTCATATAAAAATTTGCAGGAACAACGTTCCCTGCAAATTTTTCATGAAAATTCGCAAGAAAAGTCGCATATAATAAAAAAAATTCTAGTAGTGGAAGCAAATTATAAAACACTCGTATATATGTTCGGAAAAGTTAGGACCATTATATTTGTCTTGTGTGTTTATTTAAAAATAATAATTAAAAATTATGATAAATATGTAAGACTTTTTAAAGTAAAATTACAACAACGAAAAATCACTTTGTTGCTATCATAAGTTAAAAAAGAGTATATAAGTTCTAAAAACAAACTTTTATATAATTTCCGATCGAGTATATAAAAATTAAACTCTTTTAACTAAATAAACTTAAAAGAAAAAAAAAATTAAACTTGATGACTCAAATTTACCAAATTAGTTTGAGCTGAGCTGAACTTAATATACTATTGATCCCAAGTGCATCCGTGTAGTGTATTTTCTTATCTAATTTTATTGGAAGGTTTTGCTTTTTAATGATGATGATAAAGTTGTCATCAAAATTAAATGCCCTAGTGAATGTCGTCATTGCCAAAAGAAGACATAAACAACGAAGCAGCATTTTGCCACTTTCCTATTTTGTTTCGTCTCCATTTTTTAATTTCTTTTATTGATTTAAATTTTTATAATTAAATTTAATTTAAAAATATAAACATACGTCAACTTAAGCAACCATCCAAAGTAATAAATTCTTTTATCCTAAAATCCATATCCGAATTCAACTTTTGAATTTAATCGGCTAAATGTTATAATGATTTGATTTTTCTCCTAAATTTGACCCAATTGTACCATTTATTTTGATTATTTTTATAAATCACATATATCTTTCATAATTTTATTATGTGGAATTAGGTTTATAATTCACTTTTTAAAGATAATTTCAGAACAATTAATGAGATGATCATGCATATTAATATACATAAATGTAGAACAAAATTAATTCATAATTCACTTTCTTAAAACAATAATTTCATGTGTATTCATAAATCTTTTCATTCTCTTGTCTAATAATAAGAGACTTTGTTTATTCTAACATTTACTTTTTTCTTAAATTTAGAAATTGTGCCAATGAAATGAAATTATCTTCAGAATTTGTCACATACAAATGTTTAAAGAAAAAGTGAAAATTTTATAAGTGTTAAGAAAAAAAGAATAGATATGGAGTATGGAAATGGAAAGAGTTAGCAAAGAGAGTAATGGAATCCGACACGAGCAGCGAAAAGGGACGTTGCATGGGGTGAATTGAAAAGTCGTATAACAGTGCAGCCACATGCGCTGTCTCCCCTTCACCAATTCAACATCTCTTTCTATTCATCTTCACTCTTCAGCTGCCGTCCAAATAATCTTATCTGAACACACCCTTTGACTACACCTATATATATAACTATCATAACCATAACTATTCATATTCATATTCATATTATTAAACAACAAACACTACTTGTTTCTCTTCACTCATCACTCATCACTCATCATGCCCATGCTCAGTGTGATCAGCAGCAAAAAGAAAAGCGTAGGAGGCATTGTGAAGTTCAAATTGGTGATTGAAAAGCTCCAGAAGAGACTCCTACTGGGGAGAAACAAAGAAGGGTGTGATTCAAATTCAACGTACGTGCCAAAGGATGTGAAGGAAGGACACTTCGCTGTGATTGCCGAGTGTGGAGAGGAACAAAAGAGGTTCGTGCTTCCACTAAGTTGCTTAACCAACCCTACGTTTTTGAAGCTATTGGAGCAAGCAGAAGAAGAGTACGGCTTTGATCATGAAGGTGCAGTCACCATTCCTTGCAGGCCTAGTGAACTTGAGAGGATACTGTCAAACCAATGCATGCCATCAAACTACTGGACTAAGCTCGACTTGTAGAAAATCCATAATTAATCTACTGGAATTCTTACTTCACTTTCTTTCATGCATCTTCGTCAAATTTATTTGACGTCTAATTCATTGATTCTTCCACCAAGAGATAATAAAAAAGTTCCAGCTTCCAGATTACTCACATAATGCATGTTCTTTTTGGGATTAGCTTCTGTTAATTTTAAGGAGTAGTTAACCTATTCTGTTGCTGGTTTATTTCATTCATATATAAATGTGGATTTAATTTATTAGACCTTGTTACTGAGACTTAAGCTTCACTATAACAATATTCCCTCATGCTAATAATTAGATTTGTCTTCATTGATATTATCTTTATCTAATTATGAGAATAAAACTGTTAACATAATCATGGTAGGTACGTATATGTATAAAGTATACTAATTAATATGATGCACGGGCATTATATGTGAAATTTCTATTTTTACAATAGATTATTGTATATTATTAGTATAATTCATCCTATTATATATTAATATAGGACTTGTAATATTTATTTTAACAAATTTATTTTTGTTGAACAAAAATTGTATCGACAATAGGACAAGTCTAATGAATAAGTGTCTGTTTGAAAAACGTACAACCCTATCTAACGTACTAATTGTTTCATTAGTTTCATATTTCAATCATGCGTAAATAATAATACGATATTAGTAAAACAATAATTAATTTTTTAAACAAGATTTTATATCTCAAATTTGTAAGCATAATTATAAACAAAACATGTTATGACAATTTCAAACTGCCCCGTTTTTTGATGAAAAATCCTGAACTTGTCTCTGTGCCACCAGCTAAGATGCACCTTTTGGCCCATCCATATCCCACCAGTTAAAAGGTGTTACGATAATTAGAGACATCTTTACTTTATAATGAAATTATGGTTGCGACCAACGATTCTGCGACATGTCCACGAACTTTAATGCTATGGAACTTCTTTAGCATTTATATTCATGTATAAAGTTCAGATTTGGGAAGACCCATTTGACACCAGCTGTCAATGTACAATGAATAATTCAAAATACACACTCACACACTATACTCAAGCTTGTGCATAACATGCACACTCACACACTAGTATTAAGTTCGGATTGATCAATTTGGGGGTATTTTTTAAAATTATTTATGTAAATGAAGTTGTTTTAAAACTATTTATATTTTTAGGACATTTTACAACGGTGTCGCTAACAACACTAGTGTCACGTGTAAATTTTTTTTTTGATAATTATGAACGACTAAAATTTAGACAGTAAAAATCGCTATACAGGTTGTAGCGAATTTTGTAAAGTTTCTATGGGTTTTATCTCCATTTTAAAAATATAATTAATATATATATTTTATTATAAAAAAATATATTATGTAAAGGCGCTATGAGTCATAGCGACACAATGTCGCTATGAGCCACAGCGACACAATGTCGCTATGAGCCATAACGCCTTTACATAATATATTTTTCTAATAATAAATTAAATTTAAAATATTTATTTGTGTAATTGTTGTTTATTTTAATTAAGTGAAAGAAAAAAATATAAACAAAACTTAATAAAAAAAGTATAAAATAAAATAATTATAAAAAAATAAATATGGAAAATTAAATATAAAATTTGTTATTTGTGTATTTTTAATTAAAATATTTTTTAAATTTATTCAGATTTTATTTATATGCTAATTTAAAAAAAACTGACAAAAAAAGAAGTATTTAAAATAAAATGAAAATACGAAAAAAAAAGAGGAAAAAAAGATGTCGTTATGGGCCATAGCGACTTTGTGTCGCTACGGGCCCTAGTGACATGTATTTTAATTTAATTTAATATATTTTGCATAATTATTTTATAATTTATTTTTAATATTTAATTTTATAGTTTTATTTTTTTGCGTTTGATATTTAATACATTTTTATATTTTTCATATTTATTTTAATTAATTGAAAAAAACACACACACAGAAATAAGTATAAATTTTTATTTTTTTTAAAATGATGTCGCTATGGGCCATAGCGACACAGCGGGTCTATGACCCATAATGACTATTGCAGTATATATACATCTCCTTCCAGTTACGTTTTGTTCACATTTGAAATCACACCGATAAGTATAATAGGTGGAACTCTGATTTAAATTTGTGAGTGAAATTTTGTTGTAGTTGAAATATAAATTATAGCTATTTGTACTAATTATTAGTTTTTTTTGCAGATATTATGGATCAAATTATAGCTTATATTTACACTGGAAGGATGTATGAAAGTTCTCAAGGTGTAACATTTGATGGACTAAGAAAAGGAATATATATTAAACGAGGTATAACTTTGAATATATTAAAGAGAAGGATTCACAACAAATTTCGTCTTAAGTCAAATCAAGTGATATTATCTGTAAGTTACAGATTTGTAGTTTCCCACCATGATGACAACATATATTCTTCATTGGAATTGAGTGACGATGATGATGTACAATGCATGATAGAAGCATTTCAGAGCCAGAATGTGATACCATTAATGGAATTATTTGCTGAAATAGGTATGAAAGAATCTTCAACATTTTCATTAGAAAATTTGTCAATTGAACGATCACCATTGATGACAAGAGATGAAGATGAAGATGACGAAGCAAACTATCATGTTTCATTATCATATGAAAGCATTGATGAATCCAATGAAGATGAAATTGATGATTGTGAAACATCTGATAATGAAGTGGAGTCGGATGTTATTGTTCATAGTACAATGGTTGAACCAATTTCAATTTATCCATTTACTGAAGATAACATCTAAAAATTAAATTTGCCAATAATGTATGTTATTTGTTTAAAAAATCTTGTTGAAATAGATTTTATTGAAATTACTAAATTTATTATTATTAAAATAGGTGGAAGTCAATTTTGGAGTAATTTACCCCACTACACTAACATCAATTGGAATCATCTAGATGAAGAAAATATCCCAGGGATGGATGTGCGTAATAGTTGGTCAATTAGCCAATATTTATATGTGGGGTTGGAGTTTGAGAATAAAGATGCGGTTAAAAATGCAGTAAAGCAAAATGCATTGAGAATGCGTCAAAGTTTTTATGTGGTTGAGTCGAAAAAGACGAGGTGGGTGGTTAGATGTCTAAATGCACATGATGGATGTGGATGGTACATGAGAGCCATTGAGTCAAAGAAATATGATAAGTGGAAAATGACTCAGTGGGGTGGACGTCATACGTGTTTGAACACGTCTTTGTCACAAGATCATGATAAGTTAGATTCTGAGTTAATTGCATCATTTATACAAGGTAAGTTCTGCAAAGTTTATAGTTTATATTAATAATAATTTTTATTACTCATTACTAATATTTAATATGTAGGAATGGTTAACCAAGATCCAGCAATCAAGATTAGCCTTATCCAAGAGAGAATAACATCTCAAATTGGGTTTAAAATATTTTATAGAAAGGCTTGGATGGCTAAACAAAAAGCAATTATTAAAATTTTTGGAGATGGGGAAGAATCGTATGCTTATTTACCTTGATGGCTTAAATACATGAAAGAAATTGCTCCAGGGTCATTTTATGATCTGTGTCATGATGAGTTTTTTGTTGGTAATCGTTGCGATCGTGGTTACCGTCAATTTCACAGATTATTTTGGACATTCAAGGCGTGTTGTGATGCATTTAATTATTGTAAACCCTTGATACAAGTTGATGGCACTCGTCTATATGACAAATATTAAGGTACATTGCTCATTGCTACAACACAAGATGGTAATAACAACGTTCTTCCTCTTGCATTTGCTTGGTTAAAGGAGAAACATTACTTGCGTGGTCATGGTTTTTCTCTCATTTGCGTTTACATGTAACAAATAAAAAAGGAATATGTTTAATTTCTGATCGACATCGTAGCATTAAATCGGTCATTGACAATGAGGCACTTGGTTGGAGACCGCCAAATGCATATCACAAGTATTGCATTAGGCACATTGCAAGTAATTTTAATAATCGATTCAAGGATGTAAAACTAAAACAACAGCTTGTGAAGTTAGGTAAGAAAGCTTATTTTAAATTTTTTAATCATTTCAAAAAATTTATTGTGCATTATTGATAATTTGTATGCAAAAGTTTTGTGAATCTAGCCCTCAAGTTGAACGGTGGATAGGAGGGATATCAAAAGAAAAATGGAGCATGACATATGATGCAGATGGTCGAAGATATGGTCACATGACAACGAATTTGTCTAAATGTGTTAACAAGGTTTTAAAGGATTGTAGAAATCTACCTATCACTGCATTAGTTCGGTCGACTTATACTAGGTGCACTGAGTATTTTAGTAATCGTGGTAGTCGCGCTTTAGCCGATGTTTCATCCGGGAAAGTTTTCGTTTCAAAGTTGGTTGAAGCTTTGCAAAAAAATTAAGAAGAAACTTGTTCCCACCAAGTTTGTAGATATGACATTCAATCTTCAAAATTTGAGGTTGAAGAGGCATTTGATCCAATAAGACAAACAGGGGGGAAGAAATGGGTAGTAAATTTAAAAGAACGATACTGTCAATGTGGAAAGTTTACAACATTTCATTATCCTTGTTCTTATGTTATAAAACCCCTAAAATTTAAATTACTTACAGATTTTCTGGTCAAACGGTCAAAGTATTTGCGATAAAATTTAATATCATCGCTCTTACTTATTTTACTAGCTGTGTTGGACCACCTGAAATCAAAATGTAAACAATTAAATTCTCTTAAATTTATTGAATAATTATAAAAATGTTAACATTTAAATTTGCTCATACTTTAAACCAATAGGATTGCCTGGAGGAATATGTGGCAATGGTGAAGAGACAATGGTTGGGAATCGTTCTCATGCCTATAACTGCAATAAAAGTGTAAACCCACCATAACATGGCGTTTTGTAATTAGTAGAGGTGCATAAATTGCGATACAAACATCCAAGCACAGTTGCACCCCTTGCATATGTCTTTATAGTTTGAAAGTCACGTAAAAACACCAACCACCTTAATGACACAAAGCAGGAAGATCTATCAGGAACAAAAAGTCCTCCTAGGAAACGTAATATCCAAGCTCTAGCATAAGGAAGCAACTGATCTAGATCAATTATGTCATCTACAATGTCATTAAAGTTTGTTGCCAACCAAGATAA